ACGACACACACACACATACACACACACAACACACACATATATATATATATATATATATATATATATGTATATGTATATGTATATGTATATGTTTTTGTGTATACATGTATATGTATATTTGTATATGTGTATATGTGTATATGTGTATATGTATATGTGTATATGGATATATATATGTATAGGTATATGAATATGTATATTTATATATGGATATGCATGTATATATATGTATATACATATTTAATGTAAGTATATATGAATATATGTATATATGTATATACGTATATATGTATATATGTATATATGTATATACGTATATATGTATGTATGTATATATGCATAGCCCCCTGAATATATGTAAATATGTATATACGTATATATGTATATATGTATATATGTATATGCGTATATATGTATGTATGTATATATGCATAGCCCCCTGAATAATCAACACCTGATCTCTTTTTCCTCAGGAGGCTATGATATAAATATGTATATGTTTATATCGCTAAAACCCTAAAACCCTAGAATCGCGAGCCTCAGCCTTAAATAGTTGTCGCAGGCGAGAATCGCAGTCATTGTGGTCGCAAGACCCGGTCGCAGTCGTATCGCAGTCATTTTTAAAGTCTCATATTGTTTAAAAAAAAAAATAGATAACTGTTTTAATTTATTTTGAAAACAATTCCAGCATAGCCCCCTCTAAATAGGAGCAGACAACATCAAATATTGGACGGAGAAACCCGGGGATTTTTGCTATAGAGGTTGACCCAGAGGTATATCAAGAAATATATCTCATTGGAAGTTAGATGAGTAAAAAACGTATTAATAGTCTCATCCCGATCGGACTATTGGTTCAAAAGTTATGAAAGATTTCAGTTTGTACCAGAACTGGGTCAAACTAGGCGCACGTAGGCATTAAACAAGTCCATCCATACCCAACAGAGTACAGACTACAGAGTGAGTACCGACCTTCTCGCATTATATGAAGGCATATATACTACTTTTTAATGGTCTAGGGGGGTTTTATGATAGCGAGTCTGAACGTGTATATCGGGTGGCTCACATTCTCAGTGGTATAAAAAGTACTGGTTAGAATATAAGGTACAGTCATACCTCTTTATATGTCCACCTCCTTAAGGTGTCTACCTCTTTATATGTCCAATTTCTATTTTGATTAACCCCCTATATATGAGTCAGGTCTTTTTAAGCCGGTCCGGCAGCCTGTTCTTGGAGGTTTTCATGTGTGAATATTGCACCATTCACCTCAGCTTGACGGTAGCTTTATCTATAATACATACACTAGAGTACGTACTACAATAGATCCTGGTGGGAGACACTTCTAGTGGTGAACGCTGTTGTGCGAAAGGATGCACTTCAACGCACCCAGTGGGTGGTGTACACAAATGTGCTGGTTGCGATCGAGGTATGCATACCTTTTGTGGCGTGCATCTTGGTGAGGGGTATAGCTCAAATTCAATCGGTTACTGCCTGTCTACAGATAAATGCCAGCCACCAAATGACATGTAGGAGTCTGGTTTCACTAATAACAGACAGACAGAGCCAGACGAATTGACACAAAACACACCTACAACGAGTGAACCAGGCGGATCGAAACCACAGTCGACGCCCAAGCAGGATGTATCGTCTGGTATGAAAGGAGTATCTAGTGTGATAACAGATAAGCTCACTGTTGGTAAGAAGAAGAAAACATATAAACAGACTGCATTATCGAAGGTGAGCTCCAATACAACAAAAAGAATCAATCTAACAAACAAAGATAAAGGTGTCATCGTGCGTACAATCTAGAAAGCGGAATACAGCTTAGACCTATCATGGAAAGACAACTATCGTAGGCGATAAGAAGGTTCATGGAGTCCGGAGAGAAGATACTCAGTCAGTCTTATGAGGTACATGCAAAAAAGAAATATCGAGAAAGGAGAGGAACACATCACGAGCTCGATAAGCGTTTGATTGAGTGGGTCAGTAAGGTTAGAGAAGCTGGTTTTAGTGTAAGTCAGGGCTTGATTGTCACGAAAGGGAAGGAGTATTTAATGAGAGCGCCTAGAATTCCTCCTGGTGTGACCCATACTCCCATAGGTTGGACCCCGAACCTGATGGTATGAAACTGACCAAGACTTATCTTACCTCTTTATATGTCCAAATATTTGCCAATCCCGGGAACTGGACATATATAGAGGTATGATTGTACCCGAAATACACATCCAAACTCGTTATGCGCGCACATATAACCCCCATAGACCTTTTAAAAAGTAGTATGCTATAAGGCCAAAAAGGTCTGTTGGGTATGGATGGACTTGTACATTGCCTATGTACGTGCGCCTAGTTCGACCCAGTTCTGGTACAAACTGAAATCTTTCATAACTTTTGAACCAATAGTCCCATCGGGATGAGATTAAGCATACGTTTCTTACTCGTCAAGATGAAGAATTTGAGTCATTTAAATTCCAAAAAAAATCGATATTTTTAATATACCTCTGGGTCAATCTCTATGGTAAAAATCCCCGGGTTCCTCCGTCTCATATTTGATGTTGTCAGCTCCTATTTTAGATACCGTGTATTCGTTTTGTTTTTACAAAAAAACACAACAACAACTGACTTTTAGTGATGACAAATATCTGCGTTATCGAAACATTTGTTTCGAAAGTTCAAAAGTAGTTCGGTACTGAAGAGGAAAATTTACTCCCTTATCAAGATTCAAAAGTGAGCCAGATCCAGTTTGTGGGGTTTTGGGCTTTAGCGTGAATGTTGAACAACTCATCACCGTACATACTAAATACACGCACACTTCTTGATGTATTTATCACATACACTAATGTATTTATCACATACACTGTAGTGACATCACCGTTTGTTATCGCATGCAGTGGTGATAACTACTGTATACTAGCCGCTATGCAGCGGACGCGTTTACAAAGCATGCCGGAGGTCACACAGACGAATACGCGATTGCAAGTGGTTAGTACAGTTATCACTTCAATGCTTATTTATTCATGCATATCCTTTTTTTTTACTAACTTTGTGTGCGTGGGAAGTATACTGATTTACAATATCCCAGCATAAATATCTGGCTAATCGTCTGTTGTTCAACGTGTTTATCTATCTGGCTATGTCGATCGTCCAATCCAACCGTGCTGTAGAAATACAGCTGAAATATACAATCGAGAATTTGACAAGCACAATATTACCCCTGCACGTCTGTGTGAATATATATATATATATATATATATATATATATACACA